AATTTGGCAGACACCATCCCCATGGGGCTAATGAGCATTTGAAATATGACTAAACCAACTAAAGAATTGAATTTTTAATTTCATTTAATTTTAATTAAGTTAAAATACCTCCCATAGGGCTAGTGGTTACTGTATTGAACAGCACAACTCTAGAATCTTCCTAAAATGCTCATAATCACTGCACCATACTTCTCCAGTTCAGCCCTCCAAACCAAGGCACACAGTAGAAAAATAAACCGTAAGAAAGTATAACATTGTAAATTACTCACATCCAGAGTATTAAAAACAATTTGATTATCCAAGGATAGACCTGTTACCTGTGTCCGTGGAAACCTAAGAGACTCTTGCTCTCCTATAGCTAGATAACTGGCTGTCACATTGCAGTAGCCTTTTGCCTAAGATTCTAATTCTAATGCCATTTTTTTTTTTGGTTAAATTATCTTCATTCATACTGTCCCTTCATTCTATACTTAATGATTCTGTAAGATAAAGGTAAACAAGAATATCCACTCCTTTGTGAGTGGTTTGGCCAAAACTCTGAATATCTCCTGATCCTAGTTGATCGTTTTGGCCATTTAGACCCTCAATTTTTTTTTCCCTTTGCAAAATAAGGGAGTTGAAATAAGTGATCAGGTAGGTTCCTTCTATATGTAAAAACTTAATCCTTCTAATGCCAAAGGTCCTATAGTGGTGTTGCTTTATAGTAAATTCTCTTTTTTTCCTAGTAAATCCTTGCATTGTAAAATTATATGGGCAAGTTCCCAAATTTCCTGAAAATGAAACAAAACAAGAAATGCTAGAAAGCCATGTATATAGCTCTTCAAGTCTTTTGAGCAGCTCTGTTCCTTCCTCTTCATGCTCCTTTTGTAATCAGGAGAAAGGGTTAAAATGTGCTCAGAGCCTAGAGTGCAAAGGAAATAAAAAGATAACTGAACTTTTCTTTGAGACTTTCTTTCACAAACAGCACAGACTGAAAGCTTAACAGCAAACAACCTAACCTGAGCGTACAGACACAACTTTCCAACTTACAGTGTACACAGACACAACTTTCCAACTTACAGCCTGCTGACACAGAGGAAGGGAGGGCTACCCAAAGTTGAGGGGCCCACCAAAAGAAATTTAAAACTCAGGTCATTGAAAAATTTCTTAGTTCTCCATGTATAAACTGTCTTGTAACTAGCCAGTGAACTTCAGCCAAGTCCATATTTCTTTGCCCTTAATGTGTTTTTTAGCCAATAAAATATAACTCTTTTGTTCTTGACCTTACTCCCTCAAACTCATCTAAATCTCTTCACCTACTTAGGGCATAGGAGGTTTGAATATTTTCTGCTGCCTCCTTGCTTAACCACTTGCAGTAAACTCTCAACACCTGGTACCATAATTGACTTAGACACACCAGACAAGTCCATTGCTACAAAACTCGTAAGTGGATGACATCACCATTTCCATAGGACACTAGTCAGAAACCTCAGTTTCATTTGATCCTTAATTTGTAGTAGTGGAAGTGATTGTTTTACCCAGAAATCTCAGTGAATTAATTGTCACATTGAAAAAATATGCTTATTTCACCTGTGGTGACAGTTGAAGCCTTGAAAGCAAATAACAAAGTTTGAAATGTTTTAGAAGCATAGTTATTTTGTTAAAGTGTAGGCATATGAATGATTGGGATGTTTAACCTCTATGTTCATTAAAAAAAAAAAAAACTAGTCTATTAAGTTCTTCTGTTTCATTTTAAATATCTTATTCCAAAATATTTAGTTTACAATCTTTGAAGTCAAGTATCCATTGTGTAAATCCGTGTTTTGAATCTGTAAGTGTACCCCATGCTGACTTTTGTAATGTATCCTCTGTTACCTGCTGTGCATACCACTGCCCTTCAACCTGCAGTGTGATTTAGGCTCACCTGTAGGGCTTTATAAAAAAATGTGATGCTTAGGTCCCCACCTCATACCTAGTGAGTGAGGCCTTGAGCACAGATGCTGAAGTGCTCTGCATGTTACCCTGATTTATGCTGGAGGTTGAGGAACAAAGCACCCTGTGAATTCTTCATAAGAAAAGAGATGGCCTATTAATTGGGCTTATATACCAAAGTTCGCCTGTAATAACTCGATGAAAGTATTATCAAGTTCTGTGTTGTTTTTTCCAAAATTTAACATTGATTAGCATTTATGTTTGAATGATAGCAAATCATCACTCAAAAATTATTCAACTAACTCATCTTCTCATCATTACTGAGAATTTAATATTAAAATGTCTAAGAAATGTGATACAAAATGTAGGAGCCCTAAAAAAAAGTACTTGATTTATTTACTTGTTCTTGAAAGAATTTGTGACTTATGAAAATTAGATGTTCTCATTTTGTCTCATCCTTGGATCACTAAAACTCTTAAAATCATTTGTCAGTATTTTGACAATGTAATACTTCATTTTATTTAATGATGTTTCAATTGTTCAAGTTGTTATTCATCAAAGCCACCATTAGTTGGTTTTGCTTATGTTATTATTTCTCCTAGGTTTTAAAATAATTTCTGGTGTTCATTTATTTATGCAAGTAGCATTATTGCACATTAGTTGGTACATCTTAAATGTAAAATTGTTTATTATGCTAGATTTTCCAATTTATTGCACCAAAAATACAGTGCACTACATATCCCTTCTAGATAATACTCGCTACTCCTATTGTCATTATTGACAACTATCCTCCAAGAGTGTCTTTTTAGAACCCAAAATTGAATGGCATTGAAAAATACATTCAGAGATATGTATTAGTCAAGGCACTACTACCTTTCAAAATGGATACATCTCAATCCAGGATAAGAGTTCTTATGAGTGTCATCTATACTATACTTGAATGACCTTTCATCTGTGCTTTTTATCTCTTCAACTAAGTTCTCAGACCTCTCTGTATATAACTCTTAGAGAAGGAAAATATGGGAAAGGCTTTCATGCCTTTGAAGATGACATGGCTCATTTCCATCATAAGACCACAACCATCTGCAAGAGTCTGGGAAATGTAGTCTAGCTCCATCCCCAGACTAAATAGAAATAGAGATTTGATGAACTCATAGCAGTCTCTGCAATAGTCCTCTTTCTGCCATGAATGAACTCTGTGACTCTTTGCAAGCCTTCTTTAAAATTAAAAGTCAATGTCGTTCTTTTTTGATAAGATTATTAGATACTTATATTCAGAAAATTCTCTTAAGATATAGAAAAGCTTGATTCAATGAAGGATTTTTCAGATTCCTATCTATAGAAGTAAATCTGATGAGAAAAGAGAACTAAAGTATGGCACAGTATGTGGTTTTTTTTTTTTTTTTTTTTTTTTTTTTAAAGATTTATTTTTTATTTATTTATACAAGCACTGGGTACAGTCAGAAGCGCGGGAGGGTGAGAGAATTCACCAGAGCCAGAGTGGGGAGCAGAGCAGGCAGAAGGACCGAAGTACACTGCTGAGGGGAGCAGCGGGCGGCAGGAGAGGTCTGCGCGCCATGTGGGACCCTCCTCTGGTGGCCGGGGAGCAGCCGGGGATCGAACAGGCACTGCAGAGGCTGCGGGCAGCTTCGCAACCCAGAGCTCAACCGCTGCGCCACTGGGGAGGCCCCCACAGTATGTGGTTTTGTAGTTAATTGCATAACCAGCAAATGTTAATTGCTTGATTCAGGTGATCTTGAAGAAGATATCTTGCAGGGTGGGGGATGGATTTAGGACTTTTCTACGTCCTAATCCTTTCACTTTTCACCATTTCCATCAGTGAATCAGAAAAACATACAACTAGTGTTCTTCAAATTACAATTTGAAAATTTGACATATTTTCTAAATACCTGGATTGGGTCATCAAATTCCTTTAACCTTTATTTTTTTTTTTTTTTTTTTAAGATTTATTTATTTATTTATACAAGCACTGGGTACAGTCAGAAGCACGGGAGGGTGAGAGAATTCACCAGAGCCAGAGTGGGGAACAGAACAGGCAGAGTGACGAAATACACTGCTGACGGGAGCAGTGGGCGCGGCAGAAGAGGTCTGTCGTGCCATGTGAGACCCGCGCCCGGCGGCCGGGGATCGAACTGGCGCTGTAAATTATAGGCACTGAGTTTTGAAGACGGGTCAGAAAATCCGATTATTTTTAACACTGTTTTACGACAATATGTTTTGTATTCTAAACAGTTACAAATGGGGCTTCCCCGGTGGCGCAGCGGTTGAGCGCTGGGTTGCGAAGCTGCCCGCAGCCTCTGCGGCGCCGGTTCGATCCCCGGCTGCTCCCCGGCCACCGGAGGAGGGTCCCGCATGGCGCGCAGATCTCTCCTGCCGCCCGCTGCTCCCCTCAGCAGTGTACTTCGGTCCTTCTGCCTGCTCTGCTCCCTGCTCTGGCTCTGGTGAATTCTCTCACCCTCCCGCGCTTCTGACTGTACCCAGTGCATGTATAAACAAACAAACAAACAAATAAATAAATAAAACATGCCTCTATTAAAAAAAAAAAAAAAAAAAAAAAATAAACAGTTACAAATGAACTATGGAACATAATCCTTTTTTATATGAAGGTTCACTTGGATTTATTTCTCCAAAATAGATTGCCTTTGTGACTTGAAATAATGATCTCTTATGCCCTCAAGTATAATCTTAGGAGAGATGACTATCATTATGAATACAACTTGGCTCTTTTTCAGCAGAGATGTTGTGTTGACCAGAGAAAATACCTCAAAATGGGCACAATAAATCATCTATTTCCTATATATCTACTTATATATATACATAGTATATATAGATATAGATATATAGAGTTAAGATCGCTATTAACGAACCTATATCATATTCACTCATAATGTTTGTAAAACATATTGCTATGATCGTATTGATGTTTTTAAAAAACAAAATGATGATTTTTTTTTGGTCTGGTAGCATTGATTGCTTCCATTACATTTGAAGGCTTTAAAAGGATTTGATGGAAAAGATCATTTTGTTGTGACAGTGGTATTTCAACCCTTGTATTCTCTTCCTTTCAGGACTTCCAATAGCAGTCAGACATTATCATCCTGCCATACTATGGAGCCATGTTCATCAGATGAATTTTTCCAAGCGCTTAATCATGCTGAGCAAACCTTTAAAAAGATGGAAAACTATTTGAGGCATAAACAATTATGTGATGTAATTCTAGTTGCTGGTGATCGCAGAATTCCAGCTCACAGGTAATTGTTTTCTGAATTTCTATATGTGACATATTTCTTCGATGATTTAATTACCTATGGTGAAGTGACTCATTCTAGTTGAATATTATGATGGAATGCTTTTGGGAAGAGGTACATTTTATGGAATCTCCACAAAGAAGACAGTGCATATGACTTTGTCACGTATTAAATTACCCCAGACGAATCACTTTTCCTCTGTAGAAGCACAAAACTAAAATGCCCTAGTTTTCAGACCAGTCAGAATTGTTTGTTGTAGATTTCAGCTACTACAAGCAGTTTTCACCCCACCTAATTCTACCTATTAAATAACTGTAAATAAACTCAATGGAAACTAGAATTGTAAATAGAAGCAAAAATGATGATGCTCTGATATGGGAAACACTGTTAAGAGTTTTAAAATAGTCACATCTATCCCAACTTCTGTTTGCTGCCCTCCAAGGAATGTGAGAAGCAGTGCTAAGGAACTAATGAATGCAAATAAAGTATTATTTCTTGAAGAAAGGAAAAGAAGCTATTTAATAAGGAACAATTCATTACTTTTATTCTGATCATTCCATACTCAGTTGTTCAGTGATAATCAGCATTGTGATCTCATTAATGTCCCTTTATAACTAAATGATACTCTGTCCAAAAGGTTTTGTTAAACACTCCAAAGTAGAAGTAAACTCATTAGGAAGAATAGACTTGATCTTAGAATCTTAATTGACTCATCAGCATACATTTATTGAGGTGCTGATAACATATACTGTGACAAAAATTCACATAATATGCACAGGTTTCTTAGAATAGCTACTACAACCTGAATTTTGCAGACATCTCAAATTCTGCATTTCTAAAACAGAACTGATTACTTTACCTGCCCCCTTATCACTTAGATTACAGTGCAAGAAACTACTCACTGGCCTCTCTGCCTTCACTCTTTCCTACTGCATTCTGTTTTCCGCACAACTACCTGAGTGATCCTTTAAAGTGAAATTCAGATCAAACTTGGCAATGACCCCTCATGTCACTAAGTGTGAAAGCCCAGTGGTCTGTGTGACCCAGCCTGCTATGACTTCTACCATTCTAACCTACTGCTCCTTAGGACAATCAGTCACACAGACCTCCTTTCCTTTGTTATTCCTTGTATGTATCAGGCATGCTGCTCCTTCTGGCTGAATGCTATTCCTAGATACCTACAGGATAACTAATTCCTGCACATCCTTCAAGTGTTTACCTATTGTCATCTTCTAACAAGACCACTTTTTTTAAACCTACCACCCACTCCTCATTTGCATTTACCCTACTTTTTCTCTATGGCACTTATTTTTATTTTTTTTTATTATTTTTTAAATAATAAATTTTATTTTTATATTCCCCAAACAATTGCAACCCCCCATTCTGATCCCAATCCCTCCCCTCCTGCCCCCCACCCCCCCAAAAGTGTCTCTGTTTCATAGTTTTTTGTTGATTCTGATTTTCACTTTCTTATAGTTATTCATTTTCCTGGTCCCTTATTTAAGTTTTCTAGATTCCTGCTATGAGTGAGACCATCCTGTATTTTTCTTTTTCTTTCTGGCTTATTTCGCTGATCATGATCCCTTCCAGCGCCATCCATGTTGCTGCAAATTGCATGTGTTTATCTTTTTTGAATGCTGAGTAATATTCCATGGTGTATATGTACCACATCTTCTTGATCCAGTCATCTATTTTTGGGCATTTGGGTTGTTTCCAAAGCTTAGCTATTGTAAACAGTGCTGCTATAAACATAGGGGTGCAGGTGTTCTTTGGAATTGATGTTTCTGTGTCCTTTAGGTAAATACCTAGGAGTGGAATTGCTGGATCATATGGAAGCTCTATGTTTAGTAGGTCCAGAAATCTCTACACAGCTCTCCATAGTGGTTGGACCAGTTTGCACTCCCACCAACAGTGCAAAAGAGTTCCTTTTTCTCCACACCTTCGCCAACATTTGTTGTTGCTAGTTTTTTTAATATGTGGCACTTATTTTTAAATGCACTATAAAATTTACTCCTGTTTATTGTCTTCCTTCTCTCCCAATTGTAAGATTTCCATGAAAAAAAAGAGGTCATTTGTCTATTTTGTATGCCTATATATCTCAAGTATCTAGAATAGTGCCCAATACTTATTAGGTGCACATCAGTATTTTTTCAGTGAATAAATAGATGAACAGGTAGTTCTTAGAAAAGAAACCTGAATGGCCAGAAAACATTTGAAAAGATTTTCAACCTTACTAGCAATCAAATAAATAAAAATTAAAACAATGAGATGCCATTTAACACCTTTCAGATGGCCAAAAATGTGACCATCTGACAATATTTAGGGAAATGTTAATTATTATACACTGCTGGTGGGGGTCTGGAGAAGCCAGCATCTTGGAGAGCAATTTAGCAAACCCCTTTGAGTCAGTAGAGCATTCCCAGGAAGGGTACTATACAGGAAAATGGGAGCTTCAACAATTACTGTGTCATTCTATTTCTTTTTAAAAATGGATAAAGTAAATTTATATAAGTGAGTTGACAGGGAAATATCTTCAAAACATTATCAAGTGAAAAATGCTTGTCTTAAATATTTATAACCTGTTTTTATTTATATTTTATGATCAAAAGTCTGGACAGAGATAATTAACATCAGACTATGGATAATATGTAGTATGTTAATATATTTATATAATATTAATGTAATCTAATTTTATAACAAAATGTTAGGGTTTTGTGTGTGATAAAGTTTAAAATAACCTGGCAAAATTATTTTCAAATTTCCCCCAAGTATTCACTATCTCCACAATTAAATAAAAAACATAACAGGTTATTTTCAAAAGTAAGGAACGGAAATTAGCCTTATATGTTTTCTCTTTTTTTACATAGTCAATTTAATGGTGTGGGCTTGCAGCTTTTTTTTTCCTGGATGTTATAAACCAATATTTGAGTAGTGAACAGGTAAATCATTTACTTCAGCAGAAAATTTTTAGTAATGGCAATTTATTATTCAAAGAAAGGAAGTAGAGTATGAAGTAATTTGTTAAACTTAAAAATGTGTTTCCCGGGCCACCCCAGGTGGCGCAGGTAGTTGAGCACTGTGCTGTGAAGCTGTCCGCAGCCTCTGCAGTGCCAGTTCAATCCCGGCAGGCCAGTGAGGGTCCCACATGGCATGGCAGACTCTCCTGTTGCGCCCGCTGCTCCCCTCAGCAGTGTATTTCATCAGTCTGCCTGTTCTGTTCCCCGCTCTGTCTCCGGTTCATCCACGCACCCTCCCGCACATCTGGCTTGTACCCCGGTCCTTATATAAATAAATAAATCTTTCAAAAAAATGCATTTCCCAGCACCTTGCAGTTTCTATGGTTGATTTTGTTTTTTTTTTTTTTTTAAGAGAGAAAGGAAGAAGCAGTATTTTATTAGTGAACATCGCCTTTATTGTGGTCAATGATTTTTTTCTTCTAATATGTTCTCAGATTGGTGCTCTCCTCAGTCTCAGATTATTTTGCTGCCATGTTTACTAATGATGTCAGGGAAGCAAGACAAGAAGAAATTAAAATGGAAGGTGTAGAACCAAATTCACTATGGTCCTTGATTCAATATGCATATACAGGTAATAAATCTGAAAATGTAAATTAAAAATCTCCTAGATTTATGTTATATTGTTAGATTTCATATTCCTGCTTTTAATAAAGTGCCGCAGCTAAGTTAATTCTGTTGTTGTAATACCCACCCCTGATAACTGTATAGGTTAAAATCTCTATATTAGAACCTTTAAAATATATATCACATTTAAGCTTTTGAATGAGATCTCAAATTGTTAATTAACCATAGCTTGATGAATTCTGTAATTTTTATGTAGTGCATTTAGAAGTTGAAAACTATATGTAAGTTACTAATTAGTGTCATTTGAAAATATACTTTTTAACTTTACTAGAGATCACAAAGATCAAATGAATTTTTTTGTATTTAGTACTTTTTTTTTGAAGTGTCTTCAGTTATGAACATCTGGAATACATGTCCCATGGTGTACAGAATTATTGCTTTTAACACCAATTATTTTACATACTAAGGTTTATAAAATTACATCATTAATGAAATTTCTTTTTATTATTAAGGCCGCCTTGAATTAAAAGAAGATAACATTGAGTGCCTGTTATCGACAGCTTGCCTCCTACAGCTCTCACAGGTTGTGGAAGCATGCTGTAAGTTTTTAATGAAACAGCTTCACCCATCCAACTGTCTCGGAATCCGTTCTTTTGCTGATGCCCAAGGTTGTACTGATTTACATAAAGTGGCTCACAATTATACTATGGTATGTATTTGCTGAAAATCAGGAAATCGTAAGCTTTTTGCCTTGTTCCTCTGTGTTGCATGCTTTTCTACATGTTGCTTCTTTCCCTTGGCTCTGCCACATGTCTTGAGGTTCAGGATCATATCCAATGTGTCATATTTTCATTGAGTTATGAGAGCAAAACCCCAAATAATATTTTTCCTCGATATGTGAGTCAAGCCTTAAGTAATACGGTCACTAAGAAGCAGAGCAGTGGCCTAGGACTGTTAAGTCAAGGTTTTCAGGTCTGCTGCAGAATTTCTAAAGCAGGATTTCCCCTGAACATCTTACTTTGTAGCACATGGATGGATTACAGAGTTGCCCACATACTCACTGTTGGAAATTGGAGATAGTGATTGTGCTATGTTGATACAGAACTGGTTAAAAAAAAAAAAAAAAGATAGGAAAAATAAAGGTAGGCTTTTTTTCCATAATTTATTTTATTTATTATTTTTCATTGAGGGAACATTGGTTTATATTTTGTAAGTATGGGATCCCCCACTCCAGTGATGTTACTATAGCACTCCCACTACCACAGCACCCATAGTCCATCACCACGGCACCCACAGTCCACCACAGAAGTGCATTTTGTCCCTTCCCCTCTTCCTCCCTCTATGAATGCCTCAGTTCTGTCCTGAGAGGCACCCTGGATAGAACTGGAGGAGATCATGCTAAGCCAAATAAATCAGAAGAAGAAAGACAAATACTAGATGGTGTCACTTATATGTGGGAGATAGAGAACCACACAAAGAGTTGACAGAGCCAAACTCAAAAACTAGTCCTTGAAAGGTAGGCTTTTTAAGGGAAAATCTGATTAAATGTAAGAAGTGTTTTTAGCTATGTAGAACAATGATCTTACAAGTTGTGGCAAATGAAGTGCTCAAAATAAATCTCAGCGGGGGTCCTGATTCAGAAGCCTAGAGGATAATGAATACATATTGATCTAGGACAGCAAGGAAAAAAGGCATGTTGAGGGTATACTGTTAGTACAAGTTTTCTCCAGCAGTCTTGACAGTGGGGAGATTTAGGGAAGGCGAGTGTGTGGATTTTGTAAAATAATCATCTTGCCGCACTATGCAAGTTAGATCTTCATGCCTGGGTAATGTGAAGACAGTTGTGTTAAATGTTTCAATTAGGATAATACAGCTCTGAGAGATAAAAGAGAATGTGATCATTCACATATACATTTATATTACTGATTCCATCAATATTTAAGACTGTCTACCTTCTTTTCTATCCCTCTTGCTTTCCCTAAATTGATTTGTCTGTAAAGGGATCAACAAGTAATTTTGGAATCTTTCATTAGAAAATGAGAGATTTGGAAAAATTATAAGGATATTTACAACTGTTGGGAAGATGAATTCTACTTCATAAGCTTAATGTGAAAATTAAATAAATTTACAGAAGTTTAACACTTAACACAGTGATTAGCATATCATATACCTAGTCAATAAATGATATCATCATTGTTATATAAATTAATTCTTTTTATCATGTGAGTGAACAAAACATACAAAAGCACAGCCTTTATGATTCTCTTTTTATCCCTGCAGTATAATTATTCCAGAAATGTTTCTTGTTTATGATAGACATAGTGCTTTAAGTGATAAAATAGAGAATATGACACAGGACGGAAATACTGTAGAGACTCAGCATGTTTGGGGTTAATATCTTTTACATTAAGTCCTTTGACACATTTCTTCCCTTGGTCTTTACTCTTCCTTGTACATTTCTCATTTTTGCCTTATACTTCATTTTCAAATACTTTTTTGGAATAAGGTGAATATAAAGAAAATAAAACTGGATTTTCCCCTCATAATCAGTTCATAATTTAAGTAACATCTCTTTCCTAGGAAGAAGTTCTATATATACACGAAAAAATTTGTATGAATTTAGGTCCCTCCTATTGTTTACAGAAGGCACAGTTGCTGCTTTAAGGCTTAGACATAAATTAAATTTAAATTAGTGTAATGTTTTTAAAACTATTTCCATAGCCAATTAGTTATGGTAGTTTTTTTCTCAATGCCATTATTTGACATTATTCAGTTTCAACAGAGACATGAAATTGAATTCTAATAACAATAAGTAAAGGCAGATTGTCTGATTTGAATGTTGCTATGGGAACTGAGTAAAAATATATAGTGAAAATCAATCTTCAATTTAAATAAATCCCTCAGTAATTTCATTTGCTTAAAAAGTATTCTAAAGGGGAAAGGGCATAATTCTAACACATGTTTGGTAGCATGATAGCTTTCGTATCCTAAAATGATTGAAAATAAGAAGCATAATGCTGCACAGTGCATTCAGTGATCACAGTGGCTGTACATGGGTTATTCACTCGATGAGTAGTTCCTTTTTATAATCCTAAAATCTACACGCTTTTATGTTTTCATTCTAGATTGCCACTGAATGTGACTTAGAGCAAGTCATTAAACATTAACATTTAACAAATTAAAAGTTGTTTCTTGATCTAGAAAAACCTCTAAAACCATTAAATTTTGCTAAAATATTTGCTTCAAAACTAAACTTTTTTTTTAAAGATTCATTTTTATTTATTTATGCATACAAGAACTGGGGTATAGGCCAGAGGTGCAGGGACTAAAAGGATTTACCAGAGACAGAGTGGGGAGCAGAACAGGCGGATCTACTGAAATACACTGCTGAGGTGAGCAGCAGGCAAGACTGGAGAGGTCTATTGCGCCCATGTGGGTTAGCTGCCTGGCTAGGGATTAAACTCCTGCCTTGATAGTGCTGAGACTAACTCCTGCACTACCAGGGAGGCCCAAAAACTGAACTGTTATTTTTGAAACCACTCTGTGTCTGACCTTGAGTTCAGTAGTCTTGCCAGAAGTTGTTGAAAAACTTAATTTTCATTTACTATAAATTATGCTAGAATGGAATCGGCATTGATCCAAAGCAAACATGTCAACAAATAAAAAAATCAAATCAATATAGAATAATTCCTTTCTCATTAATACCATTTGAAAGTATGGCAAGAGTTACATCAGTATTGCATAAATCTAGACTATACAATATACAATGCCTTTGAACAATTAAAAATGTATATTATTTTGAATTTTTTCATAACTTTACCTAACAATATATAATAAATACCTTTCTATGTTGCTAGTCATCTCTGTCCTTAACATTTTTAATGCATCCTCAGTAGTCCATTGAATTACAATCCCTTATAGCTTGCCATTTATGTAATTTTCTGTTTTTTTTACTATTATACGGAAGTATTGCTAGAGAAGCATTGAGGTCCCTCCCACATGAATTATTTATTAAGGATTTAACTTGTAGGATAACTGGGTTGAGAGCTTCAATATTTTTTATACTTCTTGCTGTGTGTTACCAAATCATTTTATAATGTCAGTGTACAATTGAATAGAACAATTAGCTTGAAGCCATTGAAGTATTGAGGTTTTATTAAAATGTATTTCTGAAAATGATAATTAGTCATTTAAAACAGATTTATTTGGGCATTTTTAACAAACCATGATGAATTGAAACAATTGAATATAGTTAATTATTCATGTATGGTTTTCCTCTTAAGAATTTCTACAGAAAGGAATGCCAAGCCAAGATATATTTTAGATTAGGATGTAACTTGAGTTACTGCAGGCTCTATGGAATATATAATTCTCATTTTAATATAGAAGATATTTATTGATGGCTCTTATCTCAACTCTAATTTAAACAACCTTAGCAGCTTTACTAAAAATCTGTATGTTGAGACAGTGGTGCACATTTGGAAGTATAAGAAAAATATTAAAGCATAATGTTTAGCATTTACATTAATGTTATAACTATGTAAATAATCCATGCATTAATACTTATAACCTTGCACACAAGAGGGTAAGATTGTTTATCATAAATGCTTAGTAAAGGTCATTATCTCACATCTAATGACATTTCATTCTCCAATTACAAATTATAGGGGACCTGATTCTAGTTTAGGGCCAAGACTGAATCATCTTCAGTCTAAAGTCCTGGAGTCTCATTGCCTTCTAGGTCAACACTTCTCCTTTTTCTATCAGACAAAAGAACTTGGTATATCAATCAGATCTGAAGAAATTAAAGTTTTTGAAACAGACCTAACATCCTGGGTGGTCTTATAACATTACAACACTGAAGGCCAACTTGGTCCTAGGGTAGCCCTAGCACATGTATCCTTCCCAGGCAGTCTGAGAAAGATTTCTGTCATCCAGAATGGTCTTGGGAAATCTAGCCAACTGGGACGCCATTTCAGGGTAAGGTCATAACTTCACAGCTTGCTCAGGTATTTGGCTCCATGTTGGCCATTTCTTCAGTCACCACAGATTTAAACTAACTTTTGATCTTAGATAGCATACATCTTGATGTCTGATCTGCTTTTTTTTTTTAATCTTCCTTTGAAAGATTTGCCAAATTATTCCTAACATGGACAAAGCATCACCCAAAGCCCCGGGTTCACTTAAAAATATATAATAAATTACACTTTACTATACTTATATAGAAATAAAGAGTTTAGCGGCATAACTGCAGTTTAAATGTTATTTTCTACTGTGTTTCTTTCCTAGCAAGCAGTAATAAATCATAAGAAAGGTCTAATGCATAAATTGTGTTTTGGCATCTAATTCAAAAGATCTGTTTGCTTGTTTTAAATAAGCTGTGATGAACAGAAGGTACAATATTGCCTATATGCTATTTTTCCCCTTTAGGAGCATTTCATGGAAGTCATTCGAAACCAGGAATTTGTATTATTACCAGCCGGTGAAATTGCAAAACTCTTGGCCAGTGATGATATGAACATTCCTAATGAAGAGACAATATTGAATGCACTTCTTACTTGGGTCCGTCATGATTTGGAACAGAGACGGAAAGATCTTAGCAAACTTTTGGCTTATATTAGACTACCTCTTCTTGCACCACAGGTAAACTGTTTTTGGTTATTTAAAATCAGTGTCAGTTTCAGCAACAGTATGTTAATTACATTAATTCATATTTGTATGTAGGCTTTTGTCTTTGACCTATTCAATGAGAGAATTTTACATGTATTCCTATAAAATGTGTAGAGAAAAGCTAGCAAGCTAAAAAAATAATTCTGCTTACGTTTTCAACCCTGAAGGTCTGGATACCTAAATTACATCAATTAAATAATACTTTTGACTGGGGTTAATCCAAACCTAGCCTAGCAATTGAAAGAGAATTAGTAAAGCTGCTAATGAAAGGAAAATTGGGCTCCGGAAAGCAGGTAATTTAGATGAGTTCACTTGCCATGTGTGCATTAAATATCCACAAACTCCTAGATTCCACTGATATGTAAATTAATAAGACATGATAATAGTTCCAGCCCGGAGATATTAAAATCCTGTGACTTGTTATTTTCACACACCTCAGTCTATTCATCTGTCAAGAGGGCATAATATTTTCTCTGTCTCATAGGATTGTGAGGATCAGAAAAGTGCTCTGTGAAATAAAATGTGCTATAAATAATGACATTATGATCATTACTATTATTTTAGAGTGAGAGGTAACTAGTTGGTGCATTCAAGGCAATCAGTCATACATATTTGTGTGCATAGTTTTCCCTTTTTTACAACTTTGACTAGAATATACAAAAATTTCTTCTGTATATTTTCTGCTTATCTTGGTACATTGGATAGAGAAAGGAGACTTGAAAGTGGAGAAAAATTGAATCATCACTTCTTGAGGTCAGATTTTTTTTGGTAGATAAAGTGCTATAGAGTTTATTTGTATTTACCTTGAAGATTGTGTGTTATTTCCAACGTTGTGAACAGAAGTTACTGTTTACTATCTACCTTGCAGATATAAAAATTGGTGCTGATGATGGTAGCAGACTATGTGTGCCTCGGTGGTGGGTGTGGTGTGGTGACATGCGTTTGAGGAGATGTGCCTCTGAACCACATACAGTGTTGTAAACCAATGTAACTTCAATAAAAATAATAATAGAAAATCTGATAAAGAGTCACATGGAAAAAATATCAGTGCTGATGCATTCATAAAAAAGACATCCCTCTTCAGAGGTAGAATGTTATATGAATTCATAGAAGTGAAGCTGCGTGACAGTGCGGGAAAAAGTGTCATAAAATATTTCTCTTGAAATCAGACTTAAAGAGAAGAGATATTTATACTGATACCTAGGAGAGTTCTTTTTTTTCTCCTTTTCTAGATGAAAAAAATAAAATCTGAAAAATCCTTGTAGACTGTGAAAAGAATCTCTGCAATTAAACCTGATAATTTACCTCAGCTCTGCAGTTTCAGATATTTCTGGAACAAGACTTATATGACTAACAGAAACCTTAGAGGATACTGCTGGTAATCATAGGCATAAGAACTTAAGAAAGACACTTTGGAGAACATTTAGTTTACAGCCCCCAAAAGTGAAACCATTAGTCCAAAATCACAATGATTGCATACATTGCTATTCTCCTGCATTGTAGTTTTATTTGACTTTGCTATTTGGCTGTCATATAGCTAATAAGGGGCAGAGGTGGGACTTAAGCTTGAATAGGCTTCTGTGCCTCTGGCATGGAACCATTCTGCCTCTTAAAGTGTGTGAAAAAAATGCCAAGGGAGGAGGGACAGCTATCAGGTGCAGGAATAGATTAGAAAAGAAATAAGCCATTACAATACAATAAGGTGAAAGCTGTGATAGATATATGAGCGTGACATTATGAAAATAGCCCCCCCCCCCAAGACTGACGATAGAGAAGCTGGGAGAACTGCCTGAAGTGTCACTCCATCTGCATTCTGAGTTAGCTCACCTAAGCGAGGGGGGGTGAGAACCCAGGAGAGATGGGAGATTGTGTCTAGTTATGGAGTCATGAGCAAATACATTGTGTTTTGGAATTTGAAGATAGCTTGCCTGGCTGAAGTACAGAAATAATAGGGCAATGTTGAAAGATGAGACTAGAGAGAAGGAAATAGACCATATCCTGAGGAATCTCTAGTCATACCATGGAGTTTGTATTCTAGCCTAAAAACAATGAGGAAGCACTGAAGGATTTTTAAATAGGGGATGACATGATTATAATTTTATTTTAGAGAGGTCTTACACTGCATTGCAAAGATTGGAGGGATCAGAATGGAAACCCGTTAGGAAGGCTAATGGATTCAGATAAGTAAATTAACACTCTCTGGTAGTGGAAGTAGAGAAATTACCAGGTTCAAGAGCTATTTGGGTAGTAGTAGAATTGACACAACTTAGTGACCAGTTGAGTGGTAAAAGGTACAAAAAAAAAAACAAAACAAAAACAGGGACCCAGAATGACTCTGGTTTGCGCAGCTAGGTTAATGAAGGTCTGATCAATTAAGACAAAGAATACAGGAAGACAAGTTAATTTTTTAAAAGATTTATTTATTTATGCATACAAGAACTGGGGTACAGACCAGAGGTGTGGGAGGGTGATAAGATTCACCAGAGACAGACTGGGGAACAGAGCAGGCAGACTGACCGAAGCACACCAACGAGGTGAACAGCAGGCAAGCCAGGAGAGGTCTGCTGTGCCATGTGGGCAGCTCCCTGGCCGACCAGGGATCGAACTCACACTGCAGTGGCCACGGACAGCTTCATAGGTTGCGTCCTAACTCCCCACGTCACTAGGGAGGCCCAAGACAAGTTAATTTTGAAGGTAGGAAAGAAATCAAAAGAATCATGTTCCCAGAACTTCTTGACACCTTTTATGCTCAGTCTATAAAGAAATGGAAAACTACTTAGATTGTTTAAGCCACAGATTAAAAAAAAAATTGCCACCGGCCAAGGAGAAAACAGGAGCGCTTGGGGTGGAACCCTAGAAACATTAACATTTAATGTTAATTCCTGAATTGCTGTAGTGCTGTTGAGAAGAGATTCTAAGTTCAATAAGGAGGAAATTTTAACATCATCAGATGCCTCAAAGGACAAATAAGATAAGGACAGAAAATCTACTCGATTAGCTCGGTGCTTCTCAAAGTGTGATTCCTAACTACAGGATCAACATTACCTGGGAAAGTGTTTAAAATGCAAATCATTAGGCCCCACTCTGCGCCTGCTGAATCTGCAACTCTGGGAGTGAGACCCAGCCAGTTGTGTTTTCCTAAGCCTCAGGTGAGTGAGATGCACTGTCAAATGTGAGAAGTACTGTCTTAGCCTGATGGGTAGTGCCGATATAATTTAAACAAGTTGACACCTCTGAGCAATGTTTTTCTTTTCTGCAATGATAATACTGTGTTATACTATTGTGACATTTAGAGATACCAACGTTGGCTTTCTTGTTCCTTGCTAAAAGTAAAGGGCAAGTTTGCAGCATTGAAGTTATTGAGTTTTGAAATTCAAAACCATCAAGATGTTTGTATTATGACTGTTACCAAAAGACTTTCAAATAATAAACGACCTTGTATTTTTTTAAAAGTACCACTAGGTCCTATTACCTAGAGAATTTACTTTTGTGAAATAGTTCCCTTTCTCAGTGAGGTTTTACATACTGAAACATTGTATTCAACGTGATAGAAGGGATTCAACTTGTATATAGTAATTTTATTATAGAGTTTCCCACATTAAGTCCTTAAAAAGATGTAGGAAATAATATATGTAACTGTAATCTACCAATAAATGCCCATTATAATGGGCTTTTTAAGAACTCTGAATAATCCTGAGGTATTTGTGGTCATTTTATTTTACCTTTGAGAACGGTCCAAACTTTTCTATTTGATTAAATTTTAAACAATAGCTAGAAATATTAAGGCGTATGTACATTATTTAAAAGATTTTGACATTCAAATTCTTAATGGTCCCAATGGTTAGCCTTTGTTACAGATATCTTGATCTTCACTATTCTGTTCTCAATTCCTATTACTATTTTGTACTGAAAGTCAGAAATATAAAATAAGTCCGTATTTACCATTAGTGTTCTTTTAATTTACAAGTGTGCAATACCAAAATCCTCTTAAAAGCCTATAGATTTCATAAATCATTTGCATTCAATTTTTTTTTTTACCTGAAGTAGTATTTGGGGAGAATAATAGTTTTAGAATAATAGTCATATGATGAAAAAGTATGTGAGTGGTGTGAATGCAGAGAAAATTTAAGTATTGAAAATATTTCTTCTATTTCTAAAAGTCTTCCATTTTAATAATTTGCTGTTCTTTTATGTCAGAGAAGGCACATAATACTCTCCTAAAATGAAGAATGTATGAGAATCTATATTTTCTAGCTCTCTCGATGCCTTCTGAATAATTTTCCAAATGATATCTAGTACCATTCATTTGATTAATTTATTACTTCATTAATAACTTTATATTTTCTTTCATCATACTGCTTTCAACTCCCTACTTATTAATCCCATTTATTCATAAATTATGAAAATCACCAGAATCTTAACAAATCAGTATTATTCACATTGCAGTTACTATTAACACTCGTAAGATTTTACTTTCTATAATTTTTCCACATTTATTTTTATGTAGAAAGGACTGAAGTAACTATATATATGTTATCAGAAGTAATGTAAACATTACAATTAATCTAAATCAGCCAACTCAATGAATATCCATTACTGATTCCTGTAGCAATTCTAACTGTAGTTCGTATATGTAGAAAAAATGGAATGATTAACACCAGAATTTGTGGATTTTTTTCCTTCAGCATGCTGTGCTCAAATGCTAGTTTCCAGATGCCACAAATGTTTTTACAGTAACTATTGCTAGAGACTTTATCTTATTTTCCTTTATCAAAACATTAACATATTCTCCACATCATTAATCACCTTTAAGGGAATGCCAAGTAAACCATATTTCACAACCACTCTAGTGGCTAAGATAAAAGAAGAGTAACAATTTTGGAGAGAATGTGGAGAAACAGAGACTCTCCTACATTGCTGGTGGGAATATAAAATGGTGCAACCACTTTGAAAACAGTTTGGCAGTTTCTTAAGTTAAACATAAATTGCCCAAGAGAAATGAAAACAGATCCACATGAAGACTTGCACATAAATAGTCTTAGCAGTTTTATTCATCATAACCAACATGTGAGTCAGCTGGTAAATAGACAAAATGTGGTATATCCATAGAATGGATATTATTTCATAATTTAAAAAAAATGAACTGACAGATGCTATATATGGGTGATCCTCAAAAACATGCTAGGTGAAAAACAGCAAAACACGAGGGTTACATATTGTGTGATTCTATTTATATGAAATCTATTGAAAAGGCAAGTCTGCAGAAACAGATAAGCACTTGGGTCTGGAGATAGAAACAGATATTAACAGTAGACAGGAATGCAAGATATAAATGGGGTAAAGAAAATGTTCCAAAACTGTTTTATGGTTTTGGTTATACAACTTAGTAAATTTCATAAAAATCATATAATTGTATACTTGAAATGGGTGGGTTATATAAGTAAAGTATATCTTAATGAGTTTGTAAATAAATATATAATCAAATACAACTCAGCAGTATATCAAAAGGATAATACATTATGACCAGAAGGGTCTTTTTCCAGGAAAACAAGAATGCTGAGTATCAGGAAATCTGTCAAGGCAATCATTCCAAGGTAAGTTATCAAGAAGAAAAAGCCGAAACATTACATCACTAGATATGTAAAAGGTATTCTGAACAAAACTTAGCTACCAATTTTAATTTTGAAATTCTAAAGTAAAATAGGGAAAGAAGGAAACAAGCTAAATGAATAAACATGGATTTTTTTCTTTTTTTTTAATAAAGATGTATTTATGCATATAAGAACTGGGGTACAGGCCAGGGGTGCGGGGGTTAGAGGATTCATCAGAGACAGAGTGGGGAACAGAACAGGCAGATTGACTGAAATACACTGCTGAGGGGAGCAGTGGGCTAATCAGGAGAGGTCTGCTGTGCCATGTGGGTAGCTCCCTGGCCAGGGATTGATCTTGTGCTGCAGTGGCTGCAGATAGCTTCATAGGTTGTGGTTTAACCCCTTGCGCCACCAGGGGGCCCCAACATGGGTTATTAAATGTTACAGCAACTGTTATCCTAAGTAGTTGCTGTAACCATATCAATCATAATAGCCATATCAATTTAGACCAGAAACAAGGATATCATCCTAATTGTTTAACATTGCTTTGAAGACTTTAAAAGTTGCAATGATAAAATGAAAAGAAAAGCATTGGCATACACATTAGGAAAAAATATCAACTACCGCTGTTTGGTGGTGATTATGATTGCCTGCATAACAACTAGAATTTAATAAGGAATGTGGTAAAGAAGTAGGTTATACTATACGCATACAACAATTAATGGACTTTTTTCTCCTCCAACAAAGCATGAGCAAAGTAGAAATTTGAGTAACTGTTCCTAAGAGTAATAAAATACATAGAAATGTTTAATAAAAGAAAGGAATAAGATTTATATGAAGAAAGTTATGCAACAAATAGAAAGATTTGCTTAAACTGACAATATCATAAAATAAGTAAATTCTTGTAAAATTTGTAAATGTAATATAGTTCCTATTCTAAGTTCAACAAGATATAGCTGGTGAAGGGGACTAGGATATCTTAATTTTTTTTTTAAAGATTTTTTTTTTTATTTATTTTATACAAGCACTGGGGTACAGTCAGAAGCGCTGGAGGGTGAGAGAATTCAGCAGAGCCAGAGCAGGGAGCAGAGCAGGCAGAAGGACCGAAGTACACTGCTGAGGGGAGCAGCGGGCTGCAGGAGGGGTCTGCGCACCATGTGGGACCCTCCTCCTGTGGACGGGGAGCAGCCGGGGATCGAACCCGCGCTGCAGAGGCTGCGGGCAGCTTCACAACCCAACGCTCAACTGCTGCCCCACCAGGGAGGCCCTAGGATATCTTAATTTATTTGGAAAGTAAAGACTCAAAAAGAGCCAAGGAAACTCTGAAAATCAACAGTAATGGTCAACTTAGATCATCAGAATATATTATAAAGACACAGTAAAAAAAAAAATGTGGTATGAGAATAGGAAAAGACACATACATCAGTGGACTAAAATAATTAAAAAAAAACATATTTCACATATTCTGAGATGTATTTCTGAGAATGCAATATATGGTCAAGTTTCAGTTCAGTTAGAAATGGAGATGGAACTAATGCAGAACTGGGAAGCTGCCATGAAGGAAATAAAAATACTCCTCAGCCCATACTCTGGAAGTTAATTTTACATGAATCAATAGCCTAAATGAAAGATTTTTTTAAAAAAAAACGGATGAGGAGAAGGATGGAAAGCAAGCACAAAAAGAAATGTATTTTTTTAAGGAAGGGTATAACCATATTTATATGTTTAAATGAAATTGCTTAAGTAGAAAAATAGAATTCAGTAAAGCACAAAGGATTTTAATTCTTTTAGAATAAGTAACCACCATTTGGAATTCTCTGCCATATAAGAAATTATATTTGCTGTTGCTGTTATTTGAGTATTTTTTAAAGAGTTCAGATAAACGCAATCCTGTTAGTCCTTAGAATTAGTCTTCTTCAGTTAAAATTATTTCTGATTTTAAATGATTTATTTTTTATCTCAAAAAATGTATAAAATTAGTAAAAAAATTACTTTAAAAGACTAGTTCATCAACTATCTGGAGATAAATATTAAGATTTTAGGTTATACCAGCTGTCCTCCTCAGTTTTTGTTTTTCAATGAAATTTGAAATGTGTGTCTTATAAATATTCTATATATTAGCTAAAAATAGGTATCCAGACTTTTCAAAAGTATGAGATCATTTCTATTTGTGAGCTATATGATTTATTCTTTTAACCTTCCTATTTCTTGGCCATTCAGTATACACACTCACTATTCTTTTCTAGTTCCTGGCAGATATGGAAAATAATGCACTTTTTCGAGATGATATAGAATGTCAGAAACTTATCATGGAAGCAATGAAATATCATTTATTACCAGAGAGACGACCGATGTTACAAAGTCCTCGGACAAAACCTAGAAAGTCAACTGTTGGTACATTATTTGCAGTTGGAGGGATGGATTCAACTAAAGGTATTAAAAATCTTTTGTTGGGGAGAGGAGGAAAAACAAATGTTAATTAGTAACATATATAATCAAAGTATTCTTTAGAGACATGAGGTGGCGGGTTCTAGGACTAGGAAAGGTACAAGATAAGTCCAGAACACCTTGCAGGGCCAGAAAGTAAGGAAGCACTCCAAGAAGGATGGAGACAGGTCAAGGGACACAAGAAGTAATTGGCATTGCCCAAATCTGGGATAGTTTCAGCATCAAAATAAATAATGATAAAGAATACAACCTAGGAAGTAGATAATTATAGATGAGTTCATCTCAATACAAATAAAGAAGGGAGAATGGATAAATACCCTTCATTTTGTGTGAGCCCTTGCAGCACCAGGATGGGATGCTGCCCAATTCATTTAATAAAGCCAGTTAGTTCTCTAAAAAAAAAAAAAATTTATTATTCTAATAAATATAGAAGCATAGAGAGAATTAGAAAAATTTACCATTCGACAACCAGCATGATAATAACTCAGTCAAGAATCATCAATGGATGCTGACACAAGTGGGTAGAAGTTTGAAAATAGGGTATTTAGTCTCAAAGTATCACTCAACCATTGCTTATTAGTTACAAAGTGTAAAATAGTATCTTTACAATGGAGAAGCCTGCCACACCACAAAGTAACTAAATCAAAAGTAGTCTTGCCAGTAAGACTAATGGGAAGCTTGTGCCTCCTGTAGGCTGGCTGAGAACTCAGCCGCACATCTGAAGTATTTTTGCCAAAAGTGTACTACCTGAATTGAATGATTAAGCAAACACAAATCCAAATTGAGAGACAATCTACAAAATAATGTGTCTGTCTGTCTGTAGTATTCCAGAATGTCAGTGTCAGGAATGCAAGAGATCCAAGGATTGTTCCAGGTTATAAGAGACTAAAGAGATCTGACGGCTATTATAATGTACCATCTTGGATTTTCTTTTCTTATAAATGCATAATTACGACAGAGGAAAAAATCCAAGTAAAGTCTATAGATAACAGCATTGTATAAATGTTTGAGATTTTGATGATTGTTATGGTTTATAAGAGAATTTCTTATTTTGAGGAAGATACAGAAACGTAATTAGGGGTACAGGGGCATAATTTCTGCAACTTATTAAACCATTCAGAGAAGTGGTCATACATACAGGGAAGTGTGGTAAAACAGACATTTGTGAGATCTGAGTCAAGGGTATCTGAGAGTTTTTGTACCCTTCTTGCTACATTGTTATTAATAGTAACAATATAACCACCACACAGAGTGCCTACTCCTTGCCATGTCCAACTCTTCTCTGACCATATCTCCCAGACTTGATAACTTGAAATTATAATTCATTTTTTTTAGTGCTTTTCATCAACTCTGGCTCATTTAAGCCAATAAAAATTTATTGGAAGGCTATTAGGAAATGCAGGGCCATATCCACAGCCCCCTGCTTCTTTATACATCTGCTATAGATTTTATATCCTTAGTGCAAGCATCCATTTGACTAGCTTTCTGTCAGTCCTGGGCCCTAAATTTCCAAGGACAAAAAGAATGACTATCTGTCTTTTCTGGGAAATGGAGTCCTGCCTCTCATCAAGGCTCATACATAGAATGAAAATTCCCCAAACATGAGGAGGAAACTCAAATACGAAATATCCAAAGTACACACTCTTGGATATCTCTCTTGCTCTCTCTCCTCTCACCCCACGTGTCCCCGTCCCTCACTGCTAGAATTCTAATGGTCATCAGGTCGTCTCTCACAGGGGTCTTATTTTTTCAATTTTCCATTGCTACCTTTTAAATAGAGTTAACCTCTTACCATCCTGCATATTGTGATCATGTTGATTTAGTGGAATAGCATTCATTATGTGTGCTAGTCATTATGCTAAGCTCTTAACCAGTTCATTTCATCTTGATAGCAACTCAGAGCTGATTGCTGTTGCCCATTTTTATGTATGAGGATACTGAGACTTAGAGAAGTTAAGTAACTTTGCCAGGATCATACAACTAATTAGTGATGAAATTAGGATTCAAAAGGCATTGGACTCTGAAGACTACTCTCTTCTTTATTAACATGCTACTATTCTGCTCAAAAATCTCAGCAAACTTTATTTCTTACCACATACTGCCACATTAATGTAAATTCCTCTTTCTAGTTTTTAAGACTTTCTGTAATCTGGCCCTTTTTTTAAGGTTTTTATTTATTTATTTATTTATTTATGGCCTGGGGTATAGGCCAGAGGTGTTGGATTCATCAGAGGATTCATCAGAAACAGAGTGGGGAGCAGAACAGGTGGATCTACTAAAACACACGGCTGAGGGGAGCAGCGGGTAAGACAGGAGAGGTCTGCTGCACCTTGTGGGTAGCTCCCTGGCCAGGGATAGAACTAATGCCACAGTGGCTGATGATAGCTTGATAGTGCTGGTATTTTAATCCCTGTGCCACTAGGGAGACACCCCTGCCCCATACTTCTTGGCCAGCTTTATTTGAGTCTTTCTCAGTAATTGAATAGTCTGACCTTCTATCCTAGTGGCTGTCTTTCCTGGCCTTAATTAATCTTATTTGCAATGTCTTTATAATAAACATTTTATATTAGTTGGCTAGCATTCTGATCCTTGGGTTCTTAGTCCTTCCTATATCTATGTAGTGTAGAATCCAAGAAATAGGTGGTAATGGTTCTATTAGCCTTTATGAAATGTTAGCATATATTCATGCTTCTTTAAAGGTCAATCCTTCAGAATAAACTAGGGAGGTTCCAAGTTTTTACATAGAACTTTGTAATTATTAAGATTTTTTTGTTTGGGAGTATTTACTTTTTTAAGATGTTCTTTCTTTTTTTAAAAAAAAAAAAGAATTTTTTTTGTTCAGTATTAGCATAGGAACTTTTAGTTATTATTTCATAAGACTATAACACTGCCTAGTGAACCAGGTCTAAAAGAAGTAACTTCAAACCCAAACTAAAAAATTCTTCAAATTTGGGGGCCTCATTGGTCACCTAGGGGTTAAGTCTCAGCACTGTCACCACTGCTATCTGCGTTTGATCCCCAGGTGAGCAAATAAGATTAATTAAGGCCAGGAAAGACAGCTTGATTAGGATAGAAGATCAGAGTATTCAATTATTGAGAAAGACTCAGAAGTGAAGTTGGTCAAGATTTTGGTAAATCCACCTGTTCTGCTCACCACTCTGTCTCTGGTGAATCCTCTCACCCCCCACATCTCTGGCCTACGCATACCCAGTTCTATGCAAAATTAAATTTTAAAAAAATTACAATAAACTTTTAAAAAATTCCTTAAATTTATTAGTGAGGAGAGATGATTAACATTACCTTTTTATTTAATGGAAGGAAAAGTTTGTAACATGAATTTTAGAGTAATGAAAATTCTCATGGCTAAAAATTATAAGGAAAAATTATTCAAGTTCAAATTGATTTTGAGCAGCTACAATGTAGAAGGGACTTTTTAGTGCTATGAGAATATAGACATGGAAAATGATTTTAACGTACCGCAAATAATTTAAGAACTTTGTAGGGTAAATTTTTTTAAATCTGTAACATGGGAATATATAATATTCAATAATATATATACAATAAAATAACACAATTTCTAAAATTCTGGAGTTTGACAACAGTATTAGTATTCTAGTGACCTAATTATTACAAATACTTTAGAATAAATGTTTGTCCTTATTGTAATTCTATGAAGATAGCACGGGTTGCATGTTGTATTAGAAGCTCAGAAGAAAGAAGTAAATTTAATTCAACTCTTCATACTGGAGGTTGGATTTTTTTTTTTAGAGGGATGGGCTTTAAAACTTATTTTCCTGCCTCTGCCACTCTCACTTCATAGAGATGGGTATTTGGAGTCTTCCAGTTGTTAAAAAAGTCAACACCATGAAGCAATTTCTCCTTAAACTTGCCATACTCAGAGCTTCCAGAGCACAAGATCTGCACTTATGCTCTCCTCCTTCCTGCTAGCAGTAGAGAATATGTCCCTTCCTTCCCTCTATGAATGCCAGCCCCTCACCTGTGTGCTGAGACTGTCCTTCTGCCTCTTCAGGATCCCTCTGTCTCCCGAATTTTCAGCTTCTTTTCTCCCAGCTACATCCTTCTCATTAAATTGGAGCAAATTCAAGTTTTTCCACCTTTAAAAGGAAAACAAAACATCCATTAACCCAGTTAATAATTCCTACCTCTCTTCTTTTTTTTAACAAACAGAAGAATCATCTATGCTCAGTCTCCATTTCCTCACCTCCCAATCACATCTCAGTACTCTACAAAGGAACTCTCCCCAAAGGCGTCAATGACTCTCATGTAGCTAAATCCAGTAAAACTTTTTGGTCTCCTTCTTACCTTGTCCTCTCAGTAGCATCTGGTACTATGGTATTAGCAGTCATGCCTGCTGTAAACTTCTTTCCCCTCTGGCTTCCATGACACTTTTCCTCACACTCTTGCTTCTCAAGTTTCCCTGACAGATAATCCTTTACACTTGACTTTTTAATACTTGAGCCTGGGGGTATGGTATGCCCTGGAGAATAGAGATGATGTCAGAGAGACATAAGCAAGGACCAGATTTGCAAGGGCTTATTGGAATATAATAAAAAATATTATTTTCCTTGCTCATAGAAGTATACCATTTGTATAATTTCCATAAATCACTCAAGGTGAACTTTTATTTACATAATTTTTATTTATTAATATTAAGGAGCAACAAGCATTGAAAAGTATGATCTCCGTACAAATATGTGGACTCCTGTAGCAAACATGAATGGAAGGAGGCTACAGTTCGGGGTTGCAGTTTTAGATGACAAACTGTATGTGGTTGGAGGAAGAGATGGACTGAAGACTTTGAATACTGTAGAATGCTACAACCCCAAAACAAAAACTTGGAGTGTGATGCCTCCTATGTCCACACATAGGCATGGCCTTGGTGAGTACAACTAGTCAGATTTGCTCACAATATTTGCTACAATTTGCTCAAATATTACATAGCATTTTTATGCTCTTCACCAGGCAGAAGAGAGTGTGGCAGCAACAGTCAGTCACAAAGCATTCCTTCACATGTTCCCTGCAATCTGAGAAGTAGACACAGAGAAAACAAGTTTATATATAAATGGGGCAGCAACAAGCACAAGGAAAAATATGGAATTTAAGAATTTTAGTGCAGCATGATGAACCGACCAGCCATCTTTTAAAATGCGTTCTGTGTTGACAATTAATGTTATCTAACCTATTTGAAATGCTTATTTAAAAGCCTGCAGCACTGCTATTTTTCATCAGTAGCCCCCAGCTTTTATTCAGAAATGAATAAGAAACCAGAAATTTTTTGAAGTGGCACAGAAAATATAATAATAGCAACTTCTCATTCTTTCATTCACTGGGCAGACATCGAATAGCATGTCTTATGTATCATGTTATTGACCTATTACAAATATTTGCAACTATTTTAAATCTTTTCCAAACTTTGATAAATTGTCAATAAGATAAATTCTTCTATCCCCAAATTCATGCCTATTTGCAATGTGATTCTGCAGCTTCTCCTCTCTCATCAATTAAAATGTCATCTTTAAAACTTAGCAGCATATCTGAAGTCATTATTTTTCCCATCACCGTGTAGGTGTAGCTGTGTTGGAAGGCCCCATGTATGCTGTGGGAGGACATGATGGCTGGAGCTATCTGAATACAGTGGAAAGATGGGACCCGCAGGCTCGCCAGTGGAATTTTGTTGCCACTATGTCCACCCCCAGGAGCACAGTAGGTGTGGCAGTGCTAAGTGGAAAGTAAGGAAATATTTGAAATTCATTTAAAACACAATAATCTAGATGTATTAAGCTATATCCTGTCCAACAGAAAGCCATGCATAAATAAATCATAAAAGAGAAATACATTGAGTGATATAACCAGACTTTTACTATAGGCTCATTTTTATAATAGTTCTAAATAAAAATAACTCCATATTAAGTTAGGCTTTCATGCAACATGCAAGTATTATAAATCTCTGGTTATCATTTTTCAAGTAAAGAAATTTTACATAAATGTTCAATATAGTAAAACTCTGGTAGCTTATATAACTATAAAACTATATTGTCTTTTAAATGTCATATATCTGCTCTCAATTTTTGGTTAAATACTTCCACCCATCTTTTCTCCTGATTTGCCTTGACTTTATTTTTCTTGGTAAATTACTGAAAACTGAATTGGATTTAAAAAGAGGTACTCTCTGTGCTCTCTGCAGCACAAGCTCGATCCCCAGCCAGGAAGCTGACCCCCATGGCACAGAAGACCCCTCCTGTCTCACCCACTACTCCCCTTGGCAGTATATTTCAATAGATCTACCTGTTCTGCTCCTCACTCTGTCTCTGGTGAATCCCCTCAAACCCCCACCCCCCAACTCTGGCCTACATCTAGTTCTTGTATGCATAAATAAATTAAATAAATCTTTTTTTTAATTTGAATAGAGGCATTGCCAATAGCTTTGGTAATTCATAAATTAAATATATATCTTTTTCAGGCCTTTCCTATAAAATGGAGCCCTATATGACTAGTAAATAAAATTGCTTGTTGTGTGCATTTACTCATTTAAAAATCTTTATCATTTCCAGAAAAACTAAGGAATTGTGTGTCATTATTAAAAGTAAGAAAATATAAGTAAAGTATGTAAATTTAGTTACCTAACGACCTATTAGTTATGACCCAGTTTTGTTATTTTTAGCACTGTTACAAGTAATTGAGAAATAGAGACCCATTTTTTTTTTATAGAGGCATGTTTTATTTATTTATTTGTTTGTTTCTTTGTTTGTTTATACATGCACTGGGTACAGTCAGAAGCGCGGGAGGGTGAGAGAATTCACCAGAGTCAGAGCGGGGAGCAGAGCAGGCAGAAGGACCAAAGTACACTGCTGAGGGGAGTAGCGGGCGGCAGGAGAGGTCTGCGCGCCATGTGGGACTCTCCTCCGGTGGCCGGGGAGCAACTGGGGATCGAACCGGCGCCACAGAGGCTGCGGGCAGCTTTGCAACCCAGCGCTCAACTGCTGTGCCACCGAGGAGGCCCGAGACCCATTTTTAAATGTCTGATCTCTACACCCTCCTTCATTTATTTTCACTAAAGAAATTAACCACCAAAGAATATAGTAAGAGAGAGAAAAGAAAGAAAACGAAATAGTATCTTCTTGATTTTCTATCTTTGGCACAAACATTTGGGGTTAGCCCATTGTACTATTTTTGTTCAATGTCATATTCCTTAGCCCTATTTTGGTCTAAAAATATTGATTTTTTTTAAAGATTTATTTTTTATTTATACAATAGCTGGGGTACAGGCCAGAGGTGTGGAAGGGTGAGAGGATTCACCAGAGACAGAGCGGGGAGCAGAACAGGCAGAAGGACTGAAAGCAATGCTGAGAGGAGCAGCAGGCGCAACAGGAGAGGTCTGCCACACCATGTGGGCATCTCCCTGGCCATCTGGGAATCAAACCCGCGCCGCAGAGGCTGCAGACAGCTTCACAGCTCTGCGCTCAACCTGCTGCGCCACCAGGGAGGCCCTAAAAATATTGATTTCTAATAGAAGAGCAAAAGAATAACATTACCTTCACTCAAACCTGATTTCCAGACCTATAATAGCCTGGCTTCAGGCATGGAAATAACTTTGTTCCTTACCTTTTCTTGCTCTCTAATGAGAAATCAATATGTCAGTCTTTACATAAAAATACAATTGAGTTATAATTCTGATACAACCTAAAGATTATATCACAAGCTAAGGATTTTTTTCCTTTTTTTAATATTTATTTTATTTATGCATACAAGAGCTGGGCTGTAGACCAGAGGTATAGGGAGTGGGGGAGTGAGAGGATTCACCAGAGACAGAGTGGGGAGCAGAACAGGGGGATCTACTGAAATTCACTGCGAAGGGGAGCAGTTGGGCAAGACAGGAGAGGTCTGCTGCACCATGTGGGTTAGCTCCCTGGCCAAGGATCGAACTTGTGCCACAGTGGCTGCTAATAGCTTCATAGTGCTAAGACTTATCCTCTTGCACCACTAGGGAGGCCCAAAGCTAAGGATTTTTAATCTACTAAATATTAAATATTAAGACATTTGATTTTGAAAGTACAGTGTACCTACATTGTGATTACAACTAGTTTGTTTCTGACTGTACTCTCCCATTTAGCTTTCTTGGAGACCTTCCTAATGTTCAAACTAAAATACAAATTGAGCAATGTCACTTTCTCACTTAAAAACTTTCGGTAGCTAATTTGACCAAAGTCTCTTTTACATCTTGCCACTGTCCACCTCTCTAGATCCGCTCTCCTCTACCCATGCATTTTATATTCCAACAAACTGATATGTGAAAAATACATTTTGTTTCTCATTCCTATTACCTCTTAATTACCATTTTATCTGCCTTATTTCCCTCAGAGTTCTACTTGGCAAAGTCATAATCCTTGAAATTTGTTCAAATCACCTCTTGAAAACCTACCCCAGTTCCCATTTCCAGCTCCTCATTCTCCCTACACTTGGTATACATTCCACCCTTAGCACTTTTACGGTACTTAATTTGTGTATAATTATATTGCAGCATGTACTATTCCATTATTAAGCTATTTATGTAGATCATGGTCTTGTGTAACCTGGCTCCACTTTTTGTTCCTTATATCTACCCTAAGGAAGGATGTGTTAAACCAGCATTTTTCTAAGCTTGCTTTAAAAAGTAGAGATGATTTAAAATATTTTGTTGGTTTCCATTTCTAGGTACATAGCCAATTCTGGAAAAATGTTCAAATTATGTTGTTAGCTTTTTTTGTAAGTATGAAGTGGGTTAAAAAATTAATTTTGCATCTTCTTTCTACCAATACTTTGTGATTTAGAACAAATCTTTCCTGTGTCTCAATTTTTTTTAATGTATAAAATGAAAAGCCTGCATTAACTACTGTTTTGTTATTTCAACTTACTTTACAGTGCTTCCTGGTACAAAATATAGTTGTTTCTTCCGGGAAGAACTATTTCTATGTTTTATGACATTCTGTATCTTAAAATTTTCAAAGTGTTCAAATTTTTCTTTTGCCATTTTGGCAGAAGGAAGCTTTACTTAGACTTCTGATTGCTCAAACCACTTTTAAGCCACTGGCTGGCAAATATTTGTGGCAACGGAATCTCTTTCAAATGAAATCTTACAGAATTCCTCAATATTTAAGTCAAATGAGAGTTCAAGTTTATTGTAATTTTATTTTGAATTTATAAGTTTGAGGCTATATGTTATTTATGATAAAAAATCAATGTAAAAAGTAAAACTGTTTCAAAAAACACCCATATTATCACCATGTTTTGTTTTGATTGTGCATTATGAAGAAAATCCTGACTCACCAAGAAATGAAAAATGTAACAGTATTTTACTTACTAGACCAGTAGAACTAGAATCTAAGGAAATTCTTCAGTTAAACTGTTGCTCAAGTAGTTTGAAAGTAATAGAAATTTTTTTTCTATATGAATCTCAAACAGTATCTACCAACCACTTTGCATTCTTCATCATAATTTTAAAAGTCAGGCAAGACCTAAGTCTTATTCTTAAATACGTAGTACTATACTATCACAATTTGACATAATATTTCTCTTTTATTGAACTACTGTCATTAGGAAGAAAGATGAGTTCTGAATCTTGCATGACATTTAATTAAGCCAGTTCATATTTTTGAACATTAAAACTACTTCTTAAAACTTGAATTTCAAATACTCTATTTTTGGGACACTGTCAAGTCCTCCACAGAATCCTATTCTTACAATGCAGTTTGAAAATCACTGGTTGAGATAATGATTTTTCAGAGTATTACCAATAGAGTTTAATCCTCAATATTTGTTCAGTAGAAATGTTTTTGTACACTTAAGATCTCCTTAAAATGCCACTTTCTAAATGAATACAAATAGAGGCAGAATTGTTTTTTCTCCATAGCACATTTTTACCAAGTATGACCATTCTTCAAATCATAGCACTTTAAATTTGAATATCAGTAATCCCCTTATAGATGGCAAAATCCAGGCAGATATAGGCTGAAGAACTTGCTAACAGTCAAAGCTAGTAAGTGATGGAACCAGGATTCAAACTAGAGCATCTGACCCTGCGTGATGCTTTTCCTCACTGTACTACACCACTTTTCACAGGGACAACCCATGAATTCACAATGAGGAGAATAATGGTTCCCTAAAATCCATCAGTGTGTATATGTGTGCATGTATGTGTACATTTTAATTAAAGATATTCTCTAAATGTTGATACCTTCTAATAACTCTGATTCATATTTAAATAATTATTCTACCAGTTATTAAAGATGAGAACCAGGGGCCTCCCTGGTAGCGCAGGGGTTAAGACGCAACCTGTGAAGCCATCCACAGCCACTGCAGCATGAGTTCCATCCCCCAGCCGGCCAGGGAGCAACCCACAGAGTGAAGCAGACCTCTCCTGTCTCGCCCGCCACTCCCCTCAGCAGTGTATTTCAGTCAGTCTGCCTGCTCTGCTCCCCACTCTGTCTCTGGTGAATCCTCTCATCCCCCTGCACCTCAGCCTATGCCCCAGCTCTTGTATGCATAAATAAATAAATCTTAAAAAAATAAAATAAAGATGAGAAACATTTAATATTAAGACCAATAACATAAAAAGTAGTTTTTAATAGATAAAAATTTTAATGAAGTTTCAAATAAATTTTAATTCTCATACTATTAATATAGTTTAGGTGCCTAATATATTTACATGTTCAAAAATTTAAAATACCATATATTTTTAAGTTTAGAGTCAAATTTTAGAGTACACTGATAATGAATTAAAATTAGTCTAGGCAACAGGTCATTAACATTTATTTTACATAATTTATGGTATCATTTTATTACAGTAATTTAATGATCACTGGTCATATGTACACTATTGTTTCAAGTTATCCTCATATTCTCCTATTTTATTATTACAAGTACATCCCAGATGGCTGGTGCAGCTACTTACCAGTATTACTTTGTTCCTTGCATGACCCCATATAAGTCTCTTAACTTCCATGAGCCCCACTTTCTTCCTCTGTGAAGCAGGATATAGTTAGATTAATAGAGGTAAAGTGCCTACCCTGTGGTTGGTGCATAGTGAATAACAGTAGCACTATCTCTTTCCTTTTATAATCAAATCCTATTTTAGCTGCTTACAAACTAAGGCATGGTCTATTTATACATCTTGTTTTCTCTATTCTGAGACATATTTTAACATCTCTAAAATTGCAATACATCTTATAATCAATGGTGACATGTTAAACAGATGGCAGCTATAAAAGGGTTGTCATTGCTTTCATATGAGTTATGTTTTTATTCTTTATATGTAGAGTGATATCTCATATACATATATATGATAAATGACATGTAATTGTTAGCATATCATCTTTCTTAATGGCACATAAATTGACAGTTTGTCTTAAATCGATGGTACCTTAAATTCAGTGAACTACCATAAGAATGATTCCTTTCTCTTAAGCATAACAGTAGCACTATTTCTTATGTATCATTGTTCTTTTTGTGTTTATTCTTTTTACAGACTTTATGCAGTTGGTGGTCGTGATGGAAGTTCTTGTCTCAAATCAGTTGAATGTTTTGATCCTCATACTAATAAATGGACCCTGTGTGCACAGATGTCCAAAAGGAGAGGTGGAGTGGGAGTAACCACCTGGAATGGACTGTTGTACGCCATTGGGGGGCATGATGCTCCCGCATCCAACCTGACCTCCAGACTCTCAGACTGTGTGGAGAGGTAATTTCCTGTGAAGGAAAACTAGGAGTTAAATAAAGATGCCTACACTACACGTGTGTGTGTGTGTGTGTGTGTGTGTGTGTGTGTGTGTAAGAGACACTCCCAGACAAATTAGTATCTTTTTATTAAGGATCCACCACATGCAAGGCAGTTCCATAGGAGCTTTATAAACAGTGGGTTGTCTGCTCTGGTCAGCTCTTGATATGTCAGCTAACAGCCAAATTCGAATGCTTCTCTCATCATATCATTGCTTGCTTCAACTTTATATTAGAAATGGCTGCATAATATATTAATTGAATCAGAGGATGAACATTTACTATTACCTTTTTTTCTACTGGACATTGTAGAAATAAGAGAAAAGGAACTTGATGAAAAGAGCCCCTTTGGGGCCTCCCTAATGGCGCAAGGGGTAAAGCCTCAGCACTACGAAGCTATCCGCAGCCTCTGCATCACAAGTTTGATCCCCGGCCAGGGAGCGACACACTTGGTGCAGCAGACCTCTCCTGTCTCACCCGCTGCTACCCTCATCACTGTATTTCAGTAGATCTGCCTGTTCTGCTCCCCACTCTGTCTCTAGTGAATCCTGCCCCCCCACACACACCTCTGGCCTGTATCCCAATTCTTGTATGCATAAATAAATAAATCTTTCTAAAAAAAAGAAAGAAAGAGAAGAACCCCTTCCGGGGCTGGAGGCTAAATAAAAAGGGAAAGGATAGGGAAGTTTCTAACACATTTTGATATAAAATGCAATAATATGAGATAATAAAATAAAAATCTAATAGGTTGAAAGCCTAAACAAGTCATCCAATATAGCCTTATGAAACTTGAGTACAGAGCCAGATACAGAACCTAGTGTCATCAGCGCAAGTAGTTCAGGCTCCCATCTATTGTGTTCAATCTGTTTCAAGGAATGGAAAGAATTGAATGGATAAAGAAGAAGTAGTGTTGATAGGAGCATGTATGAAAGGAACAAACAAACAGAAAGGAATATGGTTCATTCAGAAAACTAAAAGGTGCCACTGTAAGCTGGGAAAAAAAGGGTGATGAAGAGACTAGTAGAGTGTGGCAGAGATAGGGACAGAGTCTTGAGGCCTTACTAAGAATTTTGAATTTTTAAACAGCAATGAGAAGTTAGTGAAGGCATGTGTATATATCACCTAAATTATAAATGATTAGACGAAGGATAAAAAATGAAATGATTGTTGTTCTTTGAGAAAGCAGAAAAGATATATCTTGTATTGGGGAGAAGGCGATTCAGACTATGCTTAATTATAATCCAGGAAATGTGAATATTGTGAAAACAGTGTCAGCCCTGGCTCTAAACTTTTCTTTCAGATATGATCCCAAAACAGACATGTGGACTGCAGTGGCATCGATGAGCATCAGCAGAGATGCAGTGGGGGTCTGTCTACTTGGTGATAAATTGTATGCTGTTGGAGGATATGATGGACAGACTTACCTTAATACAGTGGAGGCTTATGATCCCCAGACAAATGAGTGGACCCAGGTATGGCATTTCAATTTTCATTTTCATGCTTACTGATTTTCTTAAAGCTATCCTTTTTGGTAAAATAAATCCTCTCAATTTTGTCCAATATTGAAATCTATAATATAACAAGATAAAGTCATCTCTTAATTAAATGAGAAAATAAGAGGAAATGTTTCATTTTGTAACATGATTAAAATCCAAAATTACCTTTAAAGTGTAAGTTTATATTCAGAAAAAATTATTAGTTGGTCTGCCAGCATTTGCTTGCTGGGAATTGATGAGATGTTCTAGTATTGATAGAGTTGATAGGAACACAAGACAGATGTAAAATAAGGAAACATAGACAATAAGAAATAAAGATAATGGTTAGAAAAATTGAACCACTTACCCACGCATGACAAGTAATTTTTAAATACTCATGCCACTGATATTTGAGAGCACATCAAATGTCTGGTCATAACCTCATAAAGATGGCGATCCTAAATTACATTTCTAAGTAAGAAACTTAATCTGGCAAGCTATTAACAGAAAGAATTCCACTGTGGCTATTACTAGAAGGGTCTGGCACATCAGAGAATAATCTTTTGAGATCTTTGTTTCCATCATCACTCAAAACAAAATCAGGGATTTTGTGCCGCAACTCAGTATCTGACATCAAAGGCATCAAATATTTAGTTGAGCCAAAGTTTTCTACAAGAAGCAATGGTTGAGAAAACAAAATGCATGAGATTCCCCACTGCTGTAGTACTTAACTATTTAGGCAGGTAAGATCCACATGTGTAAGGGGAGAACCCACAATAGAGCAGTTGGAATGAAGTGACCCACAATGTAGGCAGTAAGTGGTTATAGAAACTCAAGCCAAGAGAGAAAATGATTAAGAACACTTCAGTGGGAAAGAGGAAGGATTTAAGCTAAGGCTTAATGAATTGGTCCAATTCAGAAAGGTAGAAAGAAAGGGACACCATGTAAGAAAACGTAAAATAAATGAGACTGAAGAACATGCAAGATTCCTTGGGGAAGTGTGACTGAACTTAAGAATTCATGCTTGAGAAGAGGAAAGTTTCAAGTAGAAAGAAAAAGGGAGGTCAGGCTGGAGAGAGTTAGTGTCTTGGAAAAAACTGCTAATTACAAACAGTTGTTTTGATTTAGATACTTAGCAGTTACTCCTAGAATACTCTAAGTAGATGTGGTTTTAAAAATAGCTATTCAAGGAGATAAAACTGATCAAAAAAACTGATTCTCATGGAGAATAACTGACAGTTCTCTTAAATTGAAGACCTGTGTGTTCTTAAAATTCACTCATTGGCCTGGGTGGAAAGGTACAAACTAATGAGCAAATCATTTTACTATCATGAAGACTTGATTGTATCCTACTACTTACAAGGCACGTTTTTAGTACTTTTATTAATCACTTCCTTCTAAATGATAGTATTTTAATTGTCGTAGGTCAAAGTACTCCTGCTTCACATACAGTGTTGTAAACCAACGTTACCACAATTAAAAATTGAATAAATAAAAACTTGTCCACACTGTCCTTTCCACTATGAATTGCCCATTATCTAGTGTACTTTTTAAAAAAAAGTGAAAATTTTTAAATTATTCCTTATTCATAAATGAAGATTATATTCTCTCCCCATGCTTCTATCTCACTATTATATTCACCACATTTTTTCCACTACTAAGGATTTGGATGGGTGGTATTTATTATTTGTTTATTCTGATAAAAAGTAGTAAGTAACAAGTGTTACACTTTTCATCCATACACAGAGAAGTCAGTTAACCAATGTAAGGTTACTGGTTCCTGTGGAATATGCAGGTCTCAGGGTCACAATGTGTTGTGTATGCTCCGGCAGCCCATCTTTTACAGGCCTCTCTAGATACTATTTGATATTTTCTCCACATTGACTACAAATTTAACTAACATATTCAGCATTTCCTAATGTCCATGTTGTGTATCACTTTGAAGAAAATATTGTGTTTCATGTAGCACAATTACTGAGCTATTTTTAAAAATCACCTTTTTCACATCCTAGCTAAATCATTGAGGTGTGTACCTGAAACTGGTATGTTATATGTCAATTATGTCTTAACCAAAAAAAAAAAAAAAATCACCTTTAAAAGGGAGTAAATACTATATAATCATGTGGTATACCCAAAACAAGTTAGCCTATGGAGTGTTGACATCAACAGGAGTTCTTGGAAAGGGACCAGGCTCAAGACAGGCTGAGGATGCAGGGGTGCGGGGCAGCTGGTCCTCACCAGCAAGTATGGACAGCTTCAATATTACACTAGGGATATGGAATTATCACCCATCTCGACTACAAACCCAATACATACGTCCTTTTGTTTCTTTTTTTTTTTTTAAATAATAAATTTTATTTTTATATTCCCCCATACAATTGCAAACGCCCCATTCTGACCCCAATCCTTCCCCTCCCCCCCCACCCCCAAAAAGTGTCTCTGGTTCATAGTTTTTTGTTGATTTTGATTTTCACTTTCTTATATTCATTTTCCTGGTCCCTTATTTAAGTTTTCTAGATTCCTGCTATGAGTGAGACCACCTTTTGTTTCTTTTTTAGGTTGCTCCACTGTGCCTAGGAAGAGCTGGAGCTTGTGTTGTGACTGTAAAATTATAACTTAGTACTTTGTTTTCTAAATGAAGATATCTTCTTCCCTTATGAATTTGCTATAATTATTCTACTATCAATGGATCCATATTTAGTAAATGTGCAATGCCACATTCCTGGGCACAAAGTGCCTGATCACAAAGAGAAGATATTAGATACAAGGGGAAGAGTGGATGAACCAGGATTTGGTACTTTCACTTCATAGTAAAATCAAAACTACAGCTGGAGCATTGTGAACATACATTCCTGACATAAAATAGGAGGAAAATGCACTTCTCTTTAATACCCAGAGTTAACTGGGAATTTCATTTATTAATAATCCAGCCCATTTTATTCACAATATCCACATTTCTTTTATTATAGTGCAAATACACCAGATAAAGCTTTTAATGTTTTGCTTTGTAACTTCACCATACATAAGTTGGAGTAATCTGTATTCATTTATTTGTTTAGTGACAACCACTATTTTAATGACAAATTATTATATATATATATATATATATATATATATATATATATATATACACACACACACTTTGGTTATATATTTAATTTCTAAACTGGCTCAGCCCAATGAATACAGAAAAAAAAAATTAAAGAGTCAAAACAACAACCAAAAGAAAACTTGATATGCTCTCCGGGCTCTGCTTAAATATTCATTCCATCTAGATTCACCAAGAACTTACATGTCATGATATGCTTAAATTGGAATTAAAACATGGTGTTTGCATTAACTTTAGGATATGCAAATTTGTGTAGAAAAAAATGTTATATACCCTATAATGTTCTTTCACCTAGTATTTAATTGTGTGGATTTGTTTTCTTTTATATTATGGAAGATGTTTTGATTTTGTCAAAACTGTTTGGATATTCTTATGTCCTCAAGACTGTATCTGCCTCGCCTGCCTTGTTTCTTATGTTTTGCCACAGTTAGTAACCCTTTATGCTTCTTTGTAATCAAACAGTTTGGGGGGAATTGGTTTAATGAATGTTTGAAAAATAAGTTTAAAGTGTTTATTATCCAAAGTTTTGTACATTTGTAAACTCAATTAATATGTGAATGTTAATACTCTCAGTGAATTGTTTATTGTTTGCAAAAATGCACTGAGCAGTAACATTTTGTGATAAATGCTGTAAGATATAAGTCATTAGCTTATATCTTAACATAAAGTCAGCATAAACAAAATTCTCATCTTTTAAAATATAATATTGCGGTTAATATGTTTTTGCATTTTATATTAAGGTTGACTTCATTTTAGTTGCTTTCTTTAAAAATTACTCTTCTTTTTTTTTTTTAATGAGCTGATTTGGAATGCTCATGAATTATTTCTACCTTGGAACCTAAGAAACTGAGAACTTCTATTCCCAAAACAAATCCTGTGATCGTTTAACTGGTGGGACTGCTAAGAAGGTAATGGTAGTAGTGAAAAATGCACTAGTACACATATATTCTTTATATTATGAATGTGAATTCAATTATTTTCCTGACAAGGAGGGATCAACTATAGAGTATATTTATGGGTTTATGAGTAGGAAGAGAAGGGGAGAAATTATAAGAAACAAAACATTCCTCTTAAGACTGAAGTCTTACAGAAGAAATATGGGTCGTCCTTATATCCACCATCCAACATTGCTTTCTTGACTCTCAGCCTGTCCAGTGAGATGTCTAGCTGCTCTTTATTGTTAACTCCAATTAATGACTACCTTATAAGAAGTAATATTTGCTAATGATTATTGAATGCTTATTATGAACTAGGAACCAAGTTTTTTTGCATGAATGCACTTAATTCTCACAACAGCCCTTTGAGATACTATGAGATATATCCCATAGGGGATATTGTCATTCCCATTTTTACAGATGAAGAAACTAGGCACAAAGAGGTTAACTCCAAGATTACAGATAGTGAGTGAGTGACAGAACAGACAGTCCAATGTGGGCAGTTTGGCTTAGGAGTCCCACCCCTTATCATTCCTATTTCTAGGCAGAAAACAAAAGTTAACATTTTATGTGAGGAGTCATTTATTTTAATGAAAAGGAAAATGAGAAGACTTATGTTTTTTAGAAGTAAAATTTGTAACAGTCACACCCTATCAGAAATGTTTGGTTCTTTAATATGAATTGGGGTCAAAGGGTGAATGGATTTTGGTTAAAACTCTAATGGAATTTTATGTGCATTTTGCTTTATAAAAGCAAATGCAAGAGAACATGACATACTTTTCAAGTCTTATAAATATTAAATGAATTACATGCTACGGAACCATGAACAAATTTATTCATCAAAAATAAGATGTATTGCCAATGAATTAGGTAACATAGATAAAATGTACAAAACTATAAAACACAAAATACCAAAACTGACTCAAAATAAGTTTAAAATCTGAGTATACCTATATCTAGAAAGTTATTGAATTAATAATCAAAAACCCAACAAAGAAAGTTCAGGATTAGATGGCTTCACTAGTTAATTATACCAAACATTTAAAGAAAAGCATCAATTCTTACTAAATTCTTCAAAAAAAAGACTTAGAAGAGTGAACACTTCCTAATTTATTAATTCTGTAAGGCCAGCATTACCTTGATAACAAAACCAGACAAAGACACATTCTACACACAAACTAAGGTTTATTGCTTGAATACAGGGAATGTTCAACAAACGAAAATCAGTGAAATAACAAGGAAAAAAACACATGATCATATCAATTGATAAGAAAAAACACTTGACAGAATCAAACACCCTTTCCTGATAAAAATACTCAGCAAACTAGGAAACAAGAGAAATTTCCTCAACCTGTTAAAAGGTATGAAGAACCCCAACTAAATGGTGAGAAATTAAAAGTTTTTCCACTAAGATCAGGAAAATGCCCATCTGACCACACTGCTAGTCAACATTGTACTAGAAGTTCTAGCCAGAGCAATTTAATAGATGATAGATATATATAGAGAGAGAAAATGAATTCTGATTAGAAAGGAAGAAATAGTCTACAGCCATACCACCCTGAATGCACCCGATCTCATCTGATCTCGGAAGCTAAGCAGGCTTGGGCCTGGTTACTGCTTGGTTGGGAGAAAGGAAGAAATATGACAATTTTTATATGTAAATAACATGATTCTACATATTGAAAATCCTAAAGAATCCACCAAAAATACTTAGAGCTAGTAAGTTCATAATGTTGCAGGGTTAACAATCAACACACAAAGGTCTGTTTATTTTCATACACTGACCAAAAAATTCTGAGAAAGAAACTAATAAGACCTAACTAAAGAAGACCTAAAAAAATGGAAAGATACCCCATGTCCTTTGGATAGAAGAGTAAATAATATTAAGATGTCAGTATTCCCCAAATTGCCCAGGGAGTCAATGCACTCTGTACCAAAAATCCCAATGATAACCTTTTTGCAGAATGGAGAAAATTGATCCTAAAATTCCTATGGCATTTCAGGGGACCAAAATAAAAACCCTAAATAATCTATAAAAAAAACAAAGTTGGAAATTTTATTTTTCAAAATTTATTACAAATCTACAGTAATAACAGTATGGTATTAGTGTAAGGATAAAAACAGATCAATAGCATAAAATAAGAGGTACAATAACAAGTTATGATCAATATGCTGTGGTCAACAGATTTTCAACAAGAGTGTGAAGGCCACTCGGTGGAGAAAGAATAGTCTCTTCAAAAAATAATTCTGGAACAACTGTATATACATATACAAAAGAATGAAGTCAGACCCTTACATATGGAACTGTCAACTCAAAATAGATCAAATTCCTAAACATAATATTGAAAACTCTGAGAAGAAAACTTTAACATAAATCATGACCTTGGACTTGGGCAGTGTTTTCTTAAATAAGATACCAAAAACACAAACAAAAGATAAATTGAACTTCATCAAATTTAATTTCTGTGAAAAGACAACCCACAGAATGGGAGGAAATATTTTACAAATCATGTCTGATAGGAGTAGTTACCAGAAGACATAAGGAGCTCCTACACGCCACACCAAAAAGCCAAGCTAATTTTAAAATGAACAAAGGGCTTGAATAGACATTAAGGAATATTAAGTCCAACAAGCATAAGGAAAACCTGGACATTATTGATCATTAGGGAGTTGCAAATCAAAACCACAAGAAGACATAATTTCATACCATACAATGGCAATGATTTTAAAAACAGAAAATATCAAGTGTTGGAAATTTCTGTAGAGAAACATTGTACTAGAAGTTCTAGCCAGAGCAATTTAATGGATGATAGATATGACTAGCAGTGTGGTCAGATGGGCATTTTCCTGATCTTAGTGGAAATTTCTCTTCAGAAATTGGAACTTTCTTCATTGCTGGTAGCAATGTAAAATGGTGCAGTTTCTGTGAAGAGTGGTACGGTGGTTCCTCAAGAAGTGAAACAATTACCATATGACTCAGCAATTCCACTTCTGGGTATATACCAGAGGAGAAAAGAAATCTGCAAACTAATGTTCCAAACAAAACCTTGCATGTGTAGCAGCAGCATTCACAGCAGCCAAAAGGTGGATCCCAAATTTTCGTCAGGTGATGAAATGGATAAACAAATTATACTACACATATATAATGGAATATTTTTCAGCCATACATAAAAAAATATGATGTACTAGTACACACTACAATGTCGCTGGACCCTGAAAACAGTATGCTAAGTAAAAGAAGCCAGACACACGAGACCACATAGATGATTCCATTTATATACAATTTCCCAAATAGTCAAATCCAAAGAGACAGAAAGCAGATTAATGGTTGCCAGGGCCCAGGAGGAAGGAGTGGGGAATGACTGTTCAGTGTGCAAGGAGTTAGTTTCCTTTTGGGTTGATGAAAATCTTCTGTAACTAATTAGTGGTGATGGTGTGAAGATACTAAATGTCACGGTAAATCTTCCGTATATTTTACGACAAAAAGTTTTATTAAGTGTTTTATCAGTTACTTAAATATAACAAAAAGCATTCTATGCATATCACTAGGATCAAAACTCTGTATATTTTATCCCAAAGGGAATTTTTAAATGTAATTTGTAAGTAAATGAATAAAAAACAATTGACAGAAATGCTTTTTTGATCTTAATTGTAGTCTAAAAGGAATGTGAGAAACTGACAAACATAAGGGTAAGTTTAATTGGGAGCTCTTCCCTAGTGCCTGGCAAACCACAGGCATTCCTTAAATGTTAAAAGTCAAAATAGATACCTTTTCATAAACTTTGTATACTGTTTGGAATTGTTGATAATATCTTAACTTTTAATTGGAAACATATTCAGTGAGATGATATTTAATTTTACTGCGACTGGATTTATAAATTCCCATGTAACATTTTCATTCGGTTACATTTTTAATTGGAGTAAAACTCAAATGCCATGAAAAAAGAAGGCAATCTTCATTATCTACATCTCAGGTACCTTCTGCAGATTTATAAGACTGCACCAGTGCCCCTTTAGAGATTGTCATCTTACCTTTAAGGCCTGACCAGTGTTTTATATTGTATCTTCTGGGCTTGAACAATCCAGACATCTCCTGAATCTCTTCCAGAAACGTGGTACGGATTGATGTGGGTATTCGCATCATGACTAGTATTGCTAACCTATTTCTCCAGTCCTGGGTAATTATTTCCTTTGGGCTAATCTAATGAGGTGCATCTAGAGAGGGAAGCCAGGGAAGCTCAGAAACCTATTGCCCTAGGTCTTTGTCCTGGTTGAAGTTGGTTCCAGTTTATGACATTTCTTTATGGATAATAAGCAAGTATATTTAACTGGATTATTTTTATTTTTTTAATTTTATTTATTTATGCATACAAGAACTGGGGTACAGGCCAGAAGTGTGAGGGGGAGGGGTAAGAGGATTCACCAGAGACACAATGGGGAGCAAAACAGGAGGACTGACTGAAATACACTGCTGAGGGGAGCAGCAGGCAAGACAGGAAAGGTCTGCTGCATCACGTGGGTCACCTCCCTGATCGGGGATTGAACTCTTGCTGCAGTGGCTGCAGATTGCTTCATAGTGCTGACGCTTAACCCCTTGTGCCACCAGGGAGGCTCCTAATTGGATTATTTTTAAATAGTGTTTGTATTATATTAGTGATTGAAAATTTCTTGTGCAAGTTTGTGCCTAAAAAGTAACTAACATAAGTGACTAAATGGTCGTGTGGTGTGATTATGCTGGCATGCTTGAGATTTTCAAGCTATCATAACTACACCACATTCCAAAAGTAGTCATTACTTACATTTTTCTGTTGTCACTTTTTAAGATAATGAAAGCATTCTACTTGAAATTAAAAAGTAGGAGCCGGGCCTCCCCTGGTGGCGCAGCATTTGAGCGCTGGGCTGCGAAGCTGCCCGTAGCCTCTGCAGCGCCCTTTCAGTCCCCAGCTCCTGGCGAGGGTCCCACATGGCGCAACAGACCCCTCCTGCCATGCCCCCCCTCTCTGGCTCTGGTGAATTCTCTCACCCTCTGGGGTTTCTGACTGTACCCAGTGCTTGTATGAATAAATAAATAAATCTTTGGGAAAAAAAAAGGAGCCAACTACATTTTTAAATAGCTTTCTTTAAAGTTGTGCACATCTATCAATCTAAAATAAGTGACAAATTGAGCAATTTGAGACATCAATGGAGTTAATCCTGTGGAAGGAAAGGTTTTTGCTTAGTGGTATCTGGAGTGGTGAGGTTAGTGAGAAAATGTCATTCAAAGCTGTGTCAGTGACAAAAATAGCTGTGCTATGTGAGAACTTCAGAGAAAGAAGCTGGGTAAAAAAAATCTAGCAAAATTTGACCTACTTATCTGTCTGACAAAATAGTAGCAGAGCTATAGAGCCCGACTCGGGGAGTGAGGTAATCCAGTTGAGAATTCATTTATCTCAGAAACCTCCTGATCAATAAAATAAGGCCTTGAGCAAAACAGCAGGGATACTAAAATTGTATAGGATAATAGAGGGGATAGAATGTCAGCTCCAAAAGGGCAAATGTTGCTTCCCTTGTAAATGCGTGCAGCATTTACATTTTATCTACTGTTGTACCTTCACATAGGAGGTTCTTTCTAATTATTTTTTGACTATGAATGTGAAATAGACTTGGTGTTCGAGGTAAATCACCTCAGAGATACTGGGATGTGGGTTTATAGTATGACAGATTGTGAAACACAGAACATAAGGAATTCATGCATTTTCCTGGCTCACATGGGGAGCGGGTATAAAATGAGCGGGGAGTGGAGGTGGGGTTTGGAATACTTGAGACTGGAATTGGTAAAACCAGAATATGTTCAAGAATTAAAGAGAAGCCCAGACTGCTTGCAGCATCAGATACATGCAGAGAAATGGAGGGAAATGTCAGCTACTTTATTGTTTTAACTTAATGATGACAGGTATCCCTTCTATCTGTGCATGACTCCAAAATAATATGGAGAAGCTCCAAGTGCTTGTAATAATTGCTAGAGATGCACTCTGCTGACAGGCCCCTCCATACTCCATCTACCCGCGCTGCCCTCCTGGCCGTATTAGAATAGCTCTCTGGACCACTTAGAGCTAAGGTAGGTTAATTAACTGATCTGTTTTTCTCTTCTTCCCACCATATAGCTAGAAATTTTCCAATATCATGAATGTTTTACTCAATACTTGGTGATAGGGAAATTTTGTAATAACTTCTGTAGTTTACATATATCCTTCATAATAGGAAATAATCATTGAGATTGTATTAGATGACTGCTCAGGTCCTTTCTAATTCCAGTGTTTAATGATATATATGTGTTGACTATCACCTGACCATATCTTGACATTCATACCCTCCAAATATGACATCTTGGCATATCAATGCCAGCAAAAATGCAGACTGTTGCAGGAGTTATCACAACCTAGTGCAGTGATTCTCAACGATAGTGCCTTATAAAAGAGGCCCCCTGGAGGTCCCTAGTCCTTCTGACAAGTAAGAATTACTTTAAAAACTTTTAAAATAGCTAAGCTATGGAAACAACCTAAATGCCCCCAAAACAGATGAATGGATCAATAAGAGGTGGTAGATATACACAGTGGAGTACTACTCAGTGATCAAAAAAGATAAACTGCTGCAACATGGATGGAGGTGGAAGGGATTATGCTCAATGAAATGGGTCAGAAGAAAAAATTACTGGATGGTTTCACTTGTAGGTAGAATACAGGGAAAGTTAGGAAAAAGACAAAACTGCTAAGCAAACCATAGATCTGAGGCATATGGCTGGGAAAGGGGAAGGACAGAGGGAAATGCACAGAGACTGTGGTGATGGTTCCATGCCTAGACTCCACTGCAGATATGGCCACTCAGGATGTGAGATCCAGCCAGGAGCCTGGCAATTCTAATGCGTAGCTTTCGTTTCACTATGGCCTATGTGTGCCCCCCCCACCATTCATTTATTGAAATCTTGTCCCCCCAGAGTTATTGGTAAGTGGGGCCTGCAGACGTACTTAAGTCATGATGGTGGAACCCTAATGAATGGGACCAGAGCCTTATGAAAGAGGCTCCCTAGAGGTCCCTAGTCTTCTCTGACAAGTAAGGAGACTCCAAGAAGCCCAGGCTGGAGGAGGGCCCCACGCCACCATGCTGGCACCTGATCACATATGCCCCAGCCTCCAGAACTATGAGTAACAAACTTCTGTTGTTTATTAGCCACCCAGTATGTGATGCTCTCTTACAGCCATCAGGATGGACTATGACAGCATTATGCCAAGAGCAAACTTTTTAGCACCCTCAAGCACAATTAAGAGAGCCATTAATTCACATAATTATGAGATCACAAGTCATTGTTTTCTGCTCATGTTCCCTGAGAACCACTAAAAGATAATACTTTGTTGGTTTTATTTGATATGTGCCAGATATATAATTCATTTTAAAACATATATACCATGTAGAGATTTTCACTAGTGTAGATGAACTTTTCCCAAATCACTAAGGCAGTATATTATTTTTTTTATAAAAAATGAGATATTTTTAACAAAGTTAATTAAGATATTTGTGATGGCCTAAAATGAAAAGGAGCTTTTAAAAACAACTCAGAGTTGATTCTGATTTCTGAGTAATACGGTCAAGTAGATCATGGAGATGAATCATCCTGTTTAAAACAACCAAAAATTCTAAGTACAATATATTTTCCTTAAGGCATTGAAGAAGAGGCAATAGATTAAGAATTGTGAGAACAGGATGAAAGAAGAGGTGCAGAAAGATGAGCAAAGCACTGAGCTTTTACCCTGAGGGCATTCACCACCCCAGCGACATTCCCTTGGTGCTGGTAGCCTCCCTGGCATGAGATATAGATGAGTCAAAACCCAACATGCACCCAAGGGGGACAACTCAGCCTCTATAAAGCTGGGCCCTAAACCTGCTCAGTTTCAAGGGAAATGGCAAGCCAAGAGCACCTACCTCACTCTCCATGACCAGGAAACGGAAGAAGAGAAGAATCTCTGAGAACTTGTGACTGCAATCCAGGCCCCCTGTTAAGAGGCAATCCTGATTTATATTATGAAAGAAGTAGAAAATCTGAATAGTCTCACAGTCATTTGAAAATCTCCCCACAAAGAAAAATCCAGGCCCCAGATATTTTCACTGACAATTTCTACTAGTCAATGCAGACTCTCAGAGAACAGTCCTGAGGAAAATGTCCCCTCTACAAAACCAATAAAATATTTCCCCCCTTCATGTAATCTTCAGTAATGCTAAAATGTGATTTCATTAATAAGTAATTTGTAATGATTCAGAATATGGTGAAAGGTATTTCTCCTCTAATTCTATCTAGGCTTGTGTTGCTCATGGCAATGATTGCTGTTAGTATAATCATGCTATATAATGTCTTAAGCATTCAGAAAATATTATAAAATCTACAAAACATCAACTGAAAGTTTACTTAAGGGAATCAAATTCTCAGGACATCCCATGATTGCACATGGTGACAAGTCCTTGGCCCATAATAAAATAATAATTTCATTAAACATTCTTTAATATTTATTTATGCATACAAGAGCTGGGGTGCAGTCCAGAGGTATGGGGGGGTGAGAGGATTCACTAGAGACAGAGTGGGGAACAGAACAGGCAGATTGACTGAAACACACTGCTGAGAGGAGCAGCAAGCAAGTCAGGAGAGGTCTGCTGTGCATGTGGGTAGCTCCCTGGCTTGGGCTCGAACTCATGCTGCAGTGGCTGCGGATAGCCTCATAGGTTGCGTCTTAACCCCTTGTGC